TCGGGAGAAATCATGGGAAATTAGTAGATTATAAGCTGTAATTAGACTTTGCTAACCTTGGTTATAGTAGCCAAAACCACTTAGCTACTTCGTTCAAATATATCCCTTTCCGGGATGTATCATATAGTAATACCTCATTTTCATCTTTTTTTTTTTTTTTTTTTTTTTACAGAGAAGGCCTGAGGACCACTCAAGTTATAAGGTTACAGTGTAAAAGGCACAGTTTATGCGAATCGATAGAAAGATAATGTTTAACCCTAGATTTGAACAGGTTAAGTAGTCATCGGGGAAATATCCTCTCGGGAGTCGGTTGCACAGAGCAGTGGTTTTCGGGAAGAAGTTGCTCGAGTGAAGATTACTTAGCGCCAGTGGAATACGGAAGGAATGAGGGTGCGTTGCTACAAAGTGAGTGGCATGACGGGTCCTAGCTGTTAAGGTAGAACTGGCGGAAACGAGGAATGCAGTTAGTCCAATCAATTTCCATGGAAATAGCGAAAGAACAGTGAAAGGCTTGCTATATCCCGCCTGTGAGAGATGGGTTGTAGGGTGGAAAATAATTTATCACCCGCAAGGACGCGAAGATGCTTTTGGACGCTGTCGAAAATGGAAAGTGAGGGCTGGTCAGCTCCCACCCAAATATGACAGAAGTACTCCATTTTAGGCCTGATCTGGTTCTTGTAAAGGTAGAGAATAGAACTTGGAGTCAACTACTTAATAAGTTTTGTCTTTGTGTCATTTCTCCCAAAGATCGTGTTTCCAACTGAAGCTAGAGTTCGATGCGGGCCCGTGACCAGCTTGAAAATTATGTAAACTTAGCCTGCAAATTCTTTTTTCTCGGCCAGGCTGACTTAAAGACCCTTCTCACTCAAAATATTCGAACAATAGGCCTGGGTCGGTGTTCAACATTGCCCAGTGTTTGATCTGCTTTCATAAGAGACCGTTAGAAAGGCTTACTAGAAAAAGGACAAACGAAGATTTTCTTTTAAGTGCTAATTCTGCAAGATGTTTCTCGGTACTGATAGCGGCAGATAAGAATTACCCTCCATAAATCTCTTCCGAGTTAGTTTTTGGTAACAGATCTCAATGTATTAGTTCTCCAAGATTCTTCTCTTATCACTGAGCCAAACCTGCTTATAAGTTTTACTCCTAACAGTCCCTTCATTCACTAAAACTACTATTATCGAAGAGATGTACAGTTATGTAAAACTTTCTTATTATTGAGCTCTTTAAAAGATAACGCTTATGTTATCTTCATTTTTTCTCCATGCGTCATCCATTGACAAAGTTTAAGTTGAATGGCAGTAACAAACAGCCCGTCGATATTTTTGATGTCTTCGCTTTCTTTCTTTCTTTCTTTCTTTCTTTCTTTCTTTCTTTCTTTCTTTCTTCCTTTCTTCGTTCGTTCTTTCTTTCTCTTTTGTATGTTTGTTTCTTTTTTGTTTTATTTGTTTCTGTTTTATTTGTTGGCTTCTTTATTACTTTCTTTTTTTCTTCGTTAATTAATTCTTTCTTTCTTTCTTTCTTTCTTTCTTTCTTTCTTTCTTTCTTTCTTTTTAAACGCGAACAGAGTCAGTGGCACTTGATCGTTAGCCAAAAAAGAAAGTAATTCAAAACTTGTAAGAGATGATACCACGTGAGGTAACACTCCCTTGTGCGATCCTGGAACAACATGCACTGACGGAAATGCTAAGATAATATATATGAACTCATATACAAACGTGCACATATATATATATATATATATATATATATATATATATATATATATATATAGAGAGAGAGAGAGAGAGAGAGAGAGAGAGAGAGAGAGATTCATGAAATTACTTCCGTAAGATTATAAGATAATTTCGACGTATACATTTAAGCAGCTACTTTCCGAAATGTATGTGACTAACATCATATAACAACGGAAAGCTTAGTTTTTTCATACTTCCGGTAGTTGCATAGGTCATACAATAAATGAATTGTTTACATTCTTCATACGCGCACTATTTTTCCCATCTTTGTGTTGGTATCACGACATTTTGGCTGTTATGCCCACCAGGTAATCTTCATGGGATTTTCAACTGAACCCTTTATTTAATCTACGGGAGTAGATTGTTCTCGTCCCGCTGTCCTTTTTCGAGTATATCACGTCTAGTTCTTATTTAAGTATTGCTCAGTTATTTGATCGCCTCGTTCACACTGCCCGACCTTCGGCTTGAACTCGCATCAATCCACTAGGTTGAAACTTACTCAGATCGACACCCGATGAAAACCGGAGAGATGAACGACCGAGAGGTTGTGATAACAACAACAGAGATAGGGATAATAGTATGTGTGTAATTAATGTAAAAAAATGACCCCAGAAAAAAACCCAAAAAACAGAAATAATTGAATTGTTTCTTTGTGTCCGTTTTAAATGACAGTTATAAGACCTGTGAATTCTTCTGAAGAATAAGCAAAACTGAAATCGATTTTTAAAATTTTTCATCCGATTATCGATTGTCAGAAAGCAGTTGGAATATATGAGAGAAAAAAAGTGATCCGCAAGTAGTTATCTTAAATGGAGATCATTACTTAAAACGTTTGCGTTAGGACATTCTACGAGTGACAGTGGTAACATGTAACCCATTACGACTTGCCGTATGAGGGTACCTCTAGGCGGTGTAATGGTTAGCAAGCTTGTCTCGTTAGAAAAATTACGATTGAGTAGTGAGTTCTCTCCTCACTGGGTGCCCCCCCTACTTTCGGCCTTGTGCCACATCTAAGCTGTGCTTGGTAAATCACTGCTACTTGCCGCATGATCGGGTTATCGGTAGCTAAATCGGTTTTCCCCCAAAAGCTTTTCTGGTGAAAAAGGTAGCTAGACAGCTAGCAGGATTAAAACAAAACCTGTCAAAGGGCGGATAAACCTTCCTGTAGGATTAACGGTCATGTATGAAGCCAGCAGAGTGCTTCCTCGACTGAAGTCAACGGCAAGGGTGGAGGGTTCCTCCAATGGAATTAAGAAGCACGTGACCGTGACAAAGGTGAATCATCAAGTTGGATGATGTCGGCTGTGGTCTGACCTGGAGAGACATAGGCTCCACCAGATCTACCTGTTCAAGACATGCTAAGCATAAATAAGTACCTCTCTGACTTTCAACCCACATGTACAGAAAAAAAAAACTATTCAGGTCATCAGCTGCACAGTGACCCTGCGACCATACCCGGACAAGAGACTGATGAATGATGACGTAGATACGCGACTCTTAAACGGCGGGAAAATATTGCGAGAACGTGTGCGCCAAAAGTGTAAATTATAAAACTGTATTTTTAGAAAGTAGTTTTTATTCTTATTTTCGCTTTAAATATAAAAAAAAATCTATAAAAAGGATATCTTAACACTTTTACATCATTAAAAAAAAAACAAATGTTAAGTTCCTGAATTTAACAGTCTTTATCAGTGTCACGTTCTTTGAAAAATTCCATACAGGATGAAAGTATTTTTCGACTTTTTTCTGTTCGAGAAAATGTATACAGGCATAACAATATCTTTTACATATTCTTCCTAACACTCTAACAAATGGTAGTAAAGAAGAATCTGCAATGTTATTGGTCATGAACTGACATCTCGGCTTCAGTTACTTTCCACTGCCGTAACGTAGCTTCCTTGTGTCTTTTCTATAAACACTTTTATGATAATTGTTCTGATGAACTTTGCTTTATGGCACCTAGACTTCATAAATTTCAGCGCAGTACTAGATTGGCAGTAAGGTCTCATCATTTTAGAGTTGAGCTGCCGAGATGTAACCGTGAGTTCTATGCTAATAGTTTCTTTTCTATAATACTTCTCACTTATGGAAGTCTCTTTCGGGATTTTTGCTTTCCAGTCAACTTTGATCTTCAAAAATTTAAATCCAATATCAATCGTTATCTTCTGTCTTCTTGATTCCTTTTCTTTTATTGTTCTTGGTCCTTAGGAAGAGCCCGAAATGTGATTTGTAGATCGGGAACACTAGAATAAAGCAGACGCAGATGTTTAAATATAAAAGAAGCGTCTTGACAGATGTCAGTAAGTGCGACACTGAGATCCGTAAACGTATTGGGATGGCCAAGGACGCATTCCAAAAGTTGAGCAGAGTACTGCAAGACAGGAGGATTTCTTTAGCAACAAAGAAAAGAACACTGAGCTGTTACGTGACATCTGTCCTTATTTACGGCAGTGAATGTTGGACGATTTCCTCAAAGATGAAGAAGAGACTCGAGGCGACGGAGATATGGTTCTACAGAAGGATGCTGAGGATATCATGGATCAAGCATGTGAGCAGCGATGTGGTCTTGGAGAAGCTACAAACAAGGAGGAGGCTTTTACTTAACATCAGGAAGAGGCAACAGAGGTTTTTCGGACACATAATGAGGAAGGAGGGCCTAGAGAATCTGATACTCACGGGTCGAATAGAGGGAAAGAGAGACCAGGGAAAAAACAACGCGTGACAGACCTAGCGGCCTTAAGCAAGTAAATGACAGAACGAGATCTTGAAGAGGAAGCAGAGGGAAGGAACTTGTTGAGAGCTGCAAGGGATAGAGGAAGAGGTGGAGAACCATGATCGCCTACGCCCTGAAAGGACATGGCATAAAAAGAAAAGAATCTTTTTTTCTGTTTCTTATTCTTCCTCACTCAGTAACGCCTTGTGTCTTGGTGGCTTTATTGCCTTGGTTGGGATGAAACTATTTAAAAAAAATAACTTATGAATACTGGAGTTGATAATTAGTCATTTAAACTCGAATTCTGAATGAATGATGTCCGCATCGGTGGAAAAGGCTTAGATAATGAAATGAATATATCTGTTAACATCCAATGAAAAAAAGGGAATTAATATGAAGCCGCCATAATATGTATCTGTATAAATCATTTTGAAAGATAAAAAAAACTGAAATGAAGTAAATCTAATGCTTCGGAATCCAAAGATTTTTCTCGTGTATTATTTTGTATAAATATCAAACAAAATTTATCGACGTGCGTGCAAATGTGACTATCACTCAGTCAATAGATAGATAGATAGATAGATAGATAGATAGATAGATAGATAGATAGATAGATATGAACAGATGAACAGACTAAGATAGATAGATAGATATGAACAGATTAAGATAGATAGATAGATAGATATGAACAGATGAACAGACTAAGATAGATAGATAGATATGAACAGATTAAGATAGATAGATATATATGAACAGACTAAGATAGATAGATAGATAGATAGATAGATAGATAGATAGATAGATAGATATGAACAGATTAAGATAGATAGATAGATAGATAGATAGATAGATATGAACAGACTAAGATAGATAGATAGATAGATAGATAGATAGATAGATAGATAGATATGAACAGACTAAGATAGATAGATAGATAGATATGAACAGACTAAGATAGATAGATAGATAGATAGATAGATAGATAGATAGATAGATAGATAGATAGATATGAACAGACTAAGATAGATGTGTATGTACAGACTGAGATGGATAAAAAGACAATATGTATTCTTTATATATACCTGTATACACATTGAAAGTCATAGATAGATAGATAGATAGATAGATACGAACAGACTAAGATAGATAGATATGAACAGACTAAGATAGATAGATAGATAGCTAGATAGATAGATAGATAGATAGATGTGTATGTACAGATTGAGATAGATAAAAAAGACAGTATGTATTCTTTATATATACTTGTATACACATTGAAAGTCATAGATAGATAGATAGATAGATAGATAGATAGATAGATAGATATGAAAAGAGATAGACAAAAAAGAATTATGCTTCATATATATTTATATACGCATTGATGGGGCACCTCGAGGTGGTGTAATGGTTAACAAGCTTGTTTTGCTCGAGCAATTACGACTGAGTAGTGAGTTCGATCCTCACTAGGTGCCCCTACTTTCGGCCTTGTGCCACATCTAAGCTACGTTTGGAAAATCCCTATATACGCATTGAAAATCATAGATAGAGACATAGATAAATATATAGATATTTATAGAGAGATGAACAGAATGAGATAAAGAAGACAATATGAATTCTTTATATATACTTGTATAGCCATTGAAGGTCATAGATAGATAGAATAGAACAAAGATAAATAAAAAGACAATACATATACCTTGTTTTGCAAAAAATTCTATAATTACGAAAGGGTAGATTTAAAATTTTAAAATAAGTATAACACGCGTTTGCGCGTGTTTTTAAAAATCGCCGGCTTAACGGAATGCAAATTTTATCGCAGTTACAATAAGTTTGTCTTTGTAATTTACCTCTGAAGATGATCGTAGAAAAGGTCGAAAGTACTTGGGTTAAAAAAAAAAACTTACGGCGCATTCCTTGATTAATTTCATCTCAACATCATGAAACTGATTAGACAACTGGAAAGGATCACTATAAAAATAAGAACACAATGTCTATATTATTCAATGAAAAATGTTTGAATGAAGATATGCTGTCTAAATATATATATGTGTGGGTGTGTGTGTGTGCGTGTGTGCTGTGTGTGAGAGACATGACTTCAAACGTTATTTTAGGTTATATGCATGTTTGAAATAGACGCACCGTATTTTTTAATTTTATTATAAATAACGTATACTACATCTACCGGCCTGTGCACTCAAGAAAACTTAATAGAGACAATGCGCTCTGCGTCCTCCTTTGTAGGAGAAACCATCGTTTGATCCGGCGTGATTTAGACTGCTCGGCCACAAATGTCTATTTACTCAATCCAACAAGTTTCTAATTAACTTTTTTTTATTTGCCTCATTCAGATTTTCTCGAAAGCCCATATCTGCTCGATTTCGAATACGAAAGGTAAACAAAGCAATTTCTAAAGAATTAATGTGTTTATTTTTGATCCAACATTTTATTATTAGGAATGTCATTTTTAATGGATATTCTTGTTTGAAATTGCCTGATCTTTAAAATTTTTTACCGTTTATGTTACGTCTACCGGCCTGCGCACCCGAGAAAATGTAACCAGATCAAACGGGGAGCAGATTTTGTAAGTGTTCTTGAGTGTGCACATCGATAGACGTAGTACACCCTCTTCAAACACAGGGCGTCTTCTCAAATACGTGTATCCACTAAAAATAACATCTGAAGAAATAAAACACACACACACACACATATATATATATATATATATATATATATATATATATATATATATATATATATATATATATATATATCAGCAGCCTGACGATTGCGTCTAGCATGAAAACAGCCTGTCGCCTCTTAGTGTTTACTTCAATGTTCACTTTCATATTTACATTTACATACGCTCTATCTCTGGTATTGAGCACTTTATCCCATAAATATAACACAGCTTAAAACTATATTTCTATATATATATATATATATATATATATATATATATATATATATATATTTATATATAAAAAGTGAACATAGAAGTCAACACTTATTAGGTGACAGTCTGTTTCATGCTAGATGCAATCGTCAGGTCTGACGATTGCATCTAACATGAAACAGACTTTTATATTTACACACGCTCTATCTCTGATATTGATCACTTTATCCCATAAATATAGCACATCTTAAGACTATATTTCTTCATATATATATATATATATATATATATATATATATATATATATAATAAAAAAAGGTTAAAAACTAATATTCCATGGTCATAATTTATTCCATTGGAATCGTAAATATATATATATATATATATATATATATATATATATATATATATACGAGAGTTGGTCAGAGAGTACTAGGACTGTTGATATGGTTACGCAGTTATAGTAACGCAGAGTGAAGCCACATGGTACAAATTAAACCTGAACTGTGTCGCGCATACACATTAAGTTATAACGTTCTCTCTCACTTCCGTTGTTTATAGTGGTGCTTCGAAGGATAGTGTGTAGAGTGTGGCTGTCTCATCACACCATAGCTTTTGGCCAAATTTCCCCAAGTCCGCCAACCAGCATATTGTCCAGATCTTGCTATTGGGACTTTTTCCCCTTCAAAAATTAATTCCGACTTGAAAGGGACCAGATATCAAAACGGCGAGAAAATCCCAAAGAATGCGATGAGGTAGCTGCTCGCTATCCCAAAAAGAAGTTCCAGAGATGATGCTTCAATCAAGGAAAACGATACTGAATAAAGTGTGTGGCTTCAGAAGGAGGCTACTTTGAAGGAGATTAAATGTCGAATTATATGTGTTGTAGTTTTTTTTTTTTATAGCATGTCCCGATACTTTATCGGGCCTCGTATATATATATATATATATATAGGACGAAACGGCAATCAAGTGCTTTCTACATTCTGTTAAGGATTATTCTAGACTCGATGAAAAACGTGGTTCTTGGGATAGAATCCGTTGGATTATGAATACTTAGATGAGTATCACCATGGAATTTGTCAGTAGCGGCGCTGTATCGAGTCTATTCAGTTCTCCGTCACCGAGAGCCGTTGGTACAGTTGGTATGACGCTTGCATTGAATCGAAACAGTCCAGATTCGAATCTAGGTAGTAAATGCGTACCGTTGATAAGTCCCAAAATAGGACAAAACCGTCCAGTGCTTTCTAATTTATAGGTCTGATGAATTGGATCATGATTACGATTCCAATGTAATAAATTATAACCATGGAATATTAGTGTTTGAGCCATATATATATATATATATATATATATATATATATATATATATATATAGAGAGAGAGAGAGAGAGAGAGAGAGGGGTATCTCCCCAAAATAGCGATCCCTAAGGATTAAATGAATTTTAAAAACTTATAAGATTTCATTTTACCTTAATTCCAAGCTAATAAATTCAATTTACTATTTACAATAATGAAAATACCTTGCTAAATTAATTGGAATTTTTTTTCTGATTGTCAGTGAAATCTATAAAATCGAATATAGACCAATCTGTCAATACGTCATAATTCTCTTTATTAAAAAAATCATCAAAAATAAAATATACTTTTCTGGAACGTTATTTGCGAAAAATTAACTGAACTAAAGTTTAATCAATCTGAATTGAAACAAATATTACTTACTTTTAGTTTAAAATATCCATTTTTGACATGGAAGTTGGTATTTTTATTATGTGATGACACATTTACCCACAGCCCGACGTTTGGGTAATTTATGTAAGAAGATAATCGTAATAAAATTGAACGACGAATACAACGTAAACTCCTTTTTTATGTATTTTGTAACTATACCATTAATTAATCTTTAAAATTGTAAATATTTAAAGCATTCTAATATCTTATTAACTTTTAGGTATATTGAGTTTATAGTCTTACGAAAACGCTTGTTGAGGAAATTATTAATTACCAATAAATCTCAACTTTACTACAGTTACCTCTTTTATTTTCTGATAATATCATGTATGGACATCCGTATTTACAAAAATTGACACGTTTATACACACAAAAATTCAAAATTCTTTTTAAAATACTAAATCGTATTTTAGAGTACTGGTCGCTGAATTGTAAGCTTTTCAGTTATGATTTGTAGATACAGATTTTCACTTGACCGATAGAGATTACTACAGAATTTTAAAAGATATAAAAATTTATAAATTATTCTAATTAATATTTAAAAAAAAAATTAAAACAATTTTTTCTAAAAATTCATTATTTATTAAAAAAAATTGTAAGACAATAATGCCCATAATATATTTTATTTAAAAATGCTTAGAAGCTTTTCAAATTAACTAATATCTTAGTTTTATTGCATTTTTATTTTATTTTAAGATTTATTGCATATTTTATATAACTGAGAGCCTGCTTGAGCCAAAAACTTTGATGATTTAAATTCTCCAAGGAATCGTCCTTATAACTAATATGAGCTTTAAACGCTACAACAAAATATTTTTCGAAATTTCTTAAGATTAAATAAGTAAGGGGTAACATATATATATATATATGTACAGAAATTTTCTAAAAAAGAAACATTAAAAAAATAATTTCATTCATTAAGGAAAATCTTCGAAAAGCTTCATTAAAATCCAACAATTATCTGATTTTTGCAATAATTTCCAAGTCTATGTATTTTAACCGACAAAAGAGGCGCAAATTTTCCGTACAAATCTATCGCTCTACGTTGACGCCAGAACAGCAAAATTTTGAACTAAAATTCCTAAGGTTCTAAAAAAAGAAAAAAGAATCAGTTATAAAGTTTTTTCATGTGTACTCATATATTGCCCAATCTTTTGGTTATATATATATATATATATATATATATATATATATATATATATATATATATATATATATATATATATGTATGTATGTATGTATATATATATATATATATATATATATATATATATGCATATATATGTATGTATATATATATATATATATATATATATATATATATATATATATATATGTGTGTGTGTGTGTGTGTGTGTGTGTGTGTGTGTGTGTGTGCCATTGGGTTTTTTCCTTGTTGTTTTCCCTTGTTGTTTCAGTGGTTGTATTAATCAGCAATATATTCAAATCCGCAATCTCTGTCTCCTTTGGCGGAAATGACATAACGAGTCTCCGACGAATTCAGCCTGCCACAAACCTACGAGTGGGCAAGCCTTTCGTTACTTAACCGCAATGTCTGACACCAAACTAACTCCTGCCGAAGCGGGCATCAATCATTCGACTGATCCTCTGGCAAGCCCACTCTTCGATTCATCCTGCTTATCTGCAACCTCAGTGTGGCTTTCTACGTGTTTTCTGCTGTTTATTTGCTTTGCCACACTCTATCATATCCACTATAATAAAAACAACATGAAAATAAACTTGAGACGCGGATTTGAAATTCAGTTTGAAAATGCCTATCTTCGTTTGGCAGTAAAACTCTTCGACTTGCACTCTGTCGCATCGCCAGGAATCTTGACAAAAGTGTCTCGTCACTGTCATGCCACAAACTTTAAGGAAAAAGAAAGTACGTAAAAGTGTGTGTGTGCTACTTTTGGGGGGGGGATAATTTCTATAGCTTAGCATTTGTCAAAATCGAAAAATATTGATTTATTATCGTTTTAGAAGGGGGGCTTCTGTTCATAATATCGATACAATGTAAAGTCGATCCCTAAAGTTTTTACAGAGTTATCAGAACTTAGATGTTTGT